ATTACCACGCTACATAGCCCTTATGTACGGTCAGCACTGTGTAACGTTATCTTGCGGGACAAAACGACTATAATAATATTATAATACTATTTATTAAACCTTGTACGCGTTGATATCGCAGCAGTGGTGACGCGCGTGGGTTGGATCCGGTCCAGACGTATTTTATTTTTGTGCAAAAAAAAAACCCGTTGTTCCATCACATCAAACGCCGGTTCAACATTACGGTATTTAATATAATTATTATCATTATATGTGTATAAAACATAATATTATCATCATACTGCTACAGCGCCTACAGCGTTTGCTAAAACGCCCCGTCGGGCTTTTGGAGCACGAAAGTCGATAAGACTGATACAATTAATTATAAACGTCACATAAAACCTAATTTTATTATTACTAAAAAAACAAAATAGTGTGTTGGCGTAATCCACGAGGTCTTGCTTAAAAGTTCTTTACTGTGCTTTAGAGGTTACAAGCTCGCGGTAGTATCATTGTCCGTTGTGTTTATTTTTGATCTTTTTTCTAATACCAGTATCATTGAACAAGATCTGTAATAACTGATAATATTATATATTATTTTAATTTAACTTTTCCACTTATTAACTATAATATAACGCTCGAGACTATAGGCACATGGTGTGTTCATGAGTCCAAGTTCGACCAGACATTTCTTTATGGACACAGTACAATTTACGTGTATTTAATTATTATATTCAATTTATATGCATATTGTTTAATAATATGTTCGTAGAGATCATGAAAATTGTATTAAACGCGAGAGTGTGATAAAATTAAAAATATTTGTTAGTAACCCTCACCTACTCAATTAACAAAAACTATATATCCGATAACCTTATTATATAGACTTTATTATCATGAATTTTTTATCGTATAAAAATTCTTTAAAAATGTAACAGCTACAAGTTATACCTATGAATGAGTATTTTCGAAATTAATTGTAGTAAAGAATATATCGAGTAGAAAAATTCACCAAGACTGACTGAATAGTCTATTATTAATGTTTAGTGAACCAGAGCTATCATCTAATATTGATATTGCCAATGTAATTGACGAATTCATAGGTATGGAAAATAGGAGAGCTAATTTATAATAAGGCAACAATAAATATATGTACATATATTATGTTCATTTATGTGAATATTTAATTTATAAATATTAAACTAAGCTTTTTTTTATATTTTTGTTTGATGAGTTCTTATTTTTATAGATCAGAGATGGGCAACTCAAAGTAACTAGCGGGCCACTTTTAAGTACTTTAAAATCTAGCGGGCCGCAGTGCATAGGACAATTTAGTAAAATCCACTTCTATTTCTGTAGTTGAAACTCTTAATAAATGTCCCAAGGTTTCATCTGTTAAACGATTTAATAATTTAGTTTCGGTTTAAAACTAGAAAAGAATTTATATCCACATTTTATCAAAAAATGTAATAAAATAAAATAAAATACAGATAAGCGCTAAAATTATATGAAGTAATATGAAAATGTAGCGCGGGCCAGATAAAAAAGGTACGCGGGCCGCCAGTTGCCCATCCCTGTTATAGATGATTGGATTTATATTTATTTTGTATGATTTTAAAGAATTTAAAAACATGTTGACACATACAAATTCAATACATTTATATCGTATGTACATTAAATTTTATTCTATGCACTATGTAATACTCGCTACTAAGGAAAAGTATTTAAAAAAATGTAAAGGAACTCTCTAAATATAAATGCCTTAATATTGTTATTCCATCAGAAATTGAAGTCTGTGCACGCCTATGTATACATATTATCTTGTTGATTTTACCGTCTGTATTTACCTTTTAATATATATTATATTATATTATATAACTTATAATACCGATGTTTATTCGCAAATTTCAATTTAATCACCGTCTGATAATAATTATTTACCAGATAAAATAATCATGTTTGCAAAATATTAATAGCTCACATTATAAAGTAACCGTCCCGTGGAGGAGTGATGGAAAGTTATTGCTATAATTAAATTTAAATAATATACACGCAAAATAATATGTATATTCAGACAATTAACCTTGAGGTTTATTAATACAAATTTGAGTGATTAAAAATATTCAAAAGTAATTTCTTATCATATCGCCAATTATATGCAATACATTAATATAGCCAATAAAAGCACGCTTGAGAGCTGTAGGTTAGTGTAGGTAAGTAAGTAGGCAGGTATATGACGTATATTATTGTGTAACAGCAATCTATTTTTTGCATTGCAAAAATAGACATTCGTATAACACATTGCCTGTACGCAACGGGATCAATTCTTTCATCAAAAATAACTTATAATTTCTCACGAAAAGTGAACGTCGTAAATCGTTAGAGCAATGCTGTTTTAGGTACCACTCTGCCTGCTGCTATCAGTATTATATATTTATGCGGTAAAAGAACGCGTTAATATTATACCAATACCACAGATCGATATGCTTCTTTAACATTTAAACTTTACAACATCCGTAATGATTTTTTTAAGTGTATAGGTGTTTTGATATTTTGCGGCGACAGCGTGAGGTAAGAAATAATAAACTAAACAAACCGAATGTTTTACTGAAATTTCTCTGATCGTTTTCCACAACAACGCCCACGTCGCCTTTTATACATTGTATCAAATTCGTCTTTACAAAATCTCTGCATTGGCCAATTCTTTTGATACCTACCGTATGCAATATCCCCATTGTCTATTTTGAGAATTTTTTTTTTTTTTGACAATTTATATTAAAATATAATATTTTAATTTTCTAGTTCTACCTGACAGATACAATATATTATAAAACGAAGTTATATTTATTTTCTTAGTTCAAAATAATTTACGATTGCGGACGTCAAGGTCTTCCAAAAAAAAATATAAAACAAAAACTTGTATTAAGTACACTTACCCAAATACAATGCAGTATAATTATTTACATCATACAAAAAAAAACATAAACGTGTACCCTATCTTATTAGTTATTATTATATCAACTGTATCAGTAATTATCGTTCAGTCGTTACGATGCGAGAAAACAGACGCGGTCTATAGGGAAATGATAATAGTTGACTTCAGGTTAACCGCACGTGCGCGAATCGTGCGGACCGTGCGGTTTTCTATTACGATTACGAAAGAATTATTATACTGTCATCTATTATTGTTAAGAAATGTTAAAAAAAAAACGATTTTTTCCGACGACGACACTTAATCGGTTGGATCGATCGCGCAAATCGGCCAAGGTTCAGACCGGCCGGAAAACATCAGAGAGCGTAGCAAATCCACCCCCACTGTCGTTGCGGATTCCAACCAACCAAATACATTATGACATTATGATTACACATTTTTTCGTTACCTCTCTAAAATGTTCGTAACTTCTCGTTATAAACGAAAATATAAATTTTATAATAATGGTTTTATATTTTGATTACCGTCGTCATTTTTATATCCCAAAATTATATTATACTATTTGTTGTTTGATTTCTACTAATAATTATCTTGATACTCTAAAAGTCGTCCGTTCACACTACAGTATTAGTTCAATGCCTATATACTTATTGCGATGATTTCCAACAAATACATTTTAACTTATAAATATTGTTCTTATTTACTTTTGCGTGTGAAACTACAACTTGCAAAAGTGAAAGACAATTTTATAGTATAGTATATTATTAATTAAGTATTATGTAAAGTTTTTGAACATGCTCAACGTGTTTACTTAGTGAGGCCCAGTATTTTTTTGTAAGAAAACTAAAATATATTATTTTATTATTTTATTATTTTATTATTTAATTATTTTAATTATCGATAACTGAGTGTAACAGACTAGAGTAAATAGTTGTGGCTTTTTATTTAATGGTATTATTATTATTATAATTATAATTATTTTCGTCTTTAATCACCGTCGTCGTCTCATTGTCTATATATTATGTATGGAAACAAATTGAAATATCTAGAATTTTCTACTGCCGATGAAACTTAGTGCTAGTGTTTTTGTGTTATTTTCCGTCGATTATTGGATTTTATAAAACTCCGTTTGCACTGTTTGCAGCATATTTACTTATTTTATCATTACATATTATTTTTACGCACGATCGCAAATATTTATAATATATTTATGAGCGAATTGCCGCAGTATACAGGATTAATAAGATTGATAGCGTAATTTTGTTTATCGCGTTTGAGTTTCGTGCACAAATCAACAATCATTAATTATATTTATTTTATCTGATATTAGTACAAAATGCAAACAATTTTACAGGAGTTATTCATTCGCTTTCAAAGTTTATACTTAACTTACCTATAACAACACTGCATAACGTATACCAAAATGGTACATAGGACTTTGTCGTGGAGTTGATAATGTAATAAATTCGAATTCGATCGCTTAACTCAATCTCTAATTATTAGGTACTGCATGCGCCCCGCGATAACGCTGACCAGTGACCGTACGAAAAGCTTATAACGCAAAGAGTTAAACGTACTTAGGCCTATTCGTGCCGTATGTGTGTGTGTGTGTGTGTGTGTGTATAGGTACTCAACAACAGTATTTTAATTTTGCAGCCGGTAATTAGGTTTTGTGTATTAGGTGGGGCATGGTGGCAACACGCACATGTATACGTATCGTGTTTCAATGCGATAAGATGGTAAGCCTTTATCGAATTACGGTTTTCGGACGCGCGCCGTTTTCGCCTCTGCTCTATTCAGCAGTCGTACAGAACGCTCCGCCGCACGCGGACATCATCACAGTGGTCACTGCTGCAGCTCGTCTTAAAGACTGCATCACCCGCGTGATATTGTCGACCCATTCTCAAAAAGTTCGATTTTAAAACCTTTGTAATCGTCTTTCCTTCCCCCTGCCCCCTAACGACTCGCGTGCGCTTGCAAACATGTACGGAAATCGAATTATTTTTTATTTTATAAAATTTTATTTTTTAATTTATATTAATACAACATTCAACAAATGGATAACATTTCTCTGATTTTCTGTTTTTAGTGTGCATACACGCAGCCCAAGACAGTAGAAATGACAGACAGCATGACGCGGAACTTTAATAATTACTCTTCCACTACAAAACCAGAACAACACATCTCCAAACAAGTGAGTTTCCTCATAGCTATGCGTATTTTATGAACAATAAAATATTATTACAGTGGTACCGAACTCACGTCGAAGTTTGGTTGATTATTAATAATAATAATGGTTAGCTATAGACTAAAAAAATAGTAATCCGATTTATATGAATCGATTGGCTCCAGGAGTAATTTATGTCATTCTTAAATCTAACGCCATCAACTCCGCCATATTGTTTAGATGCACATTTAATTTCTGCTTAATTATGTAGTTACTAGATTCGAACGTAAGGAATTATAGCAACGAATGGGCAATAGAACACGATACACGGAGACTATAGATTGAGACAAATTATTGAGTCCTAACCTATTCGGTCATATAGCTTTTAAATCGCACTTGTCCGTTTTTACGGCTTTTTCTAAAAGTTTTTATAGCTGTTTATCGCCGATTATTTATTGGTAGGTGTTTAGAGGTCGTGTGTGTATTGAAGGTTTATAATATTATTGTATTTCTACAGCCGTGTCCTTTATACCGCGGAGGTCGCGATACGTGCCAAAAAAAAAAAAAAAAAAATTATAATAATAAAAATGCAAACAGCCTTGATCGGATAATATAAAACAGTTAAACGCGAATAATGCTGCGAGAATAAATTTCTTTTGTTTTTATTTAATTTGTCTTCGGTGCAAAGATTTCTGTATAATATATTGAATCTTGATAAATCGTGAAACAGTATTACTTATGACTTCTACTCGCGGAAGAAGTTGTATAAAAGAGGTCAACAGGTTAAATAATATTATATAAACATAAACAATTCCCACCCCAACCACACACATTCATACCCAAATACTCCATAACCCCCTCCCCCACAAACTACTAAACAACACTATTATACAAAAGAAAACCGATACTATTCGATCATTCATAATAGTAAAGGAAAGTTAATGTATTTTTCCTATTCCCATAACATATCGAACTTTAGGGATGCTGCATAGTTATTATACATCCGATTTAATATCGTGCAAAGAAATCCGAAGAACTACTAGTTATTATATAATTATTATAAACATTATTGGCACGCTCTGAACTCGTCATGTAATTTTTTACTATAAACATGTACGCGAACATTTTTCTTACGAGTTACGATTTAGCAATGACCAAATAAATGTTGTCACTAAACACTTTTAAATAACAACCTCTGTACAGTGTAATAAGTCGAATGTAATTGACCCGCAGTATGTAAATATGTAAAAATTATTACTAGTACTTAAATTTAAAATAAACTTACTAAATTTTTAATGTATAACTTTGTTATAATAATTCAATATTATTATCATAAATAAACGAGTAAATTAAAATTATCTTAAAGTTTATTAGTATCTGCATTTTTTGAACATTTAAATTCGAGCACTTTTTGATTCTTATATTACCTATTAGCTATTACCCGCCGTCTGATACAATATATATACTTATATGTTACTGTATTGGCTCTCGTGACGTTTAAACAAAATTAAAATACACACCAACGAACAGAACGGAAACGGCCAAGAACCTATTGTTCTTCGAACAGAAAAAAAACATTTTTACTTTTTCATTATCGCAATATTAATTATAATTCAAAGATATTATTTATGAGTGTCATTTATTATACCCACGCTCGATCCGTGACCGACACCTGTATGTACACGCATTTATAAATTATAATTTATGATAAAGTACACTTGAAATTCGGATAGCGGTTACTGTATTAGACTGTTTATTAGGTTCTAAAACCATAAACGGTAGTCTACAATAATAATAATGTATTCGCATTCCATTAACTATGATAATTTACTTATTTTTCCGACTAATTTTTGGCACTTTTGACGTGTCTTGTGTACAGAAAAATAACTCAGTAATATAACCATAATATTGCTAAAAATAATTAATTCTTACGAACCAATAACGATTTGGAAAATTTAGGGCTTTTAGAAAAACACCTTACATCAGGTATATAATATGAAGAATATTTAAACCCGTTTTTTTCTTCAACTTTCGCGCATTTACCGCTTTCAAACTTATAAGTTATTGTAAGTTATAAATGTCATATTTCATACGCGAGATTGGGATTCATGTCATCAAATAATATCTATAGCATATCAAATTCGGTTTCTTATTGTGTCTTTTACATTATTATATGTCGTGACTACCGGACGTTTCGTCAACCAACCAACCGTAGTTTAATATTGCTCAATTATTTTAGTGTCAGATTATAATATCTGTGGCAGATATAATTTTTGGCACCTATAAAAAGCGCAGAAAATCAAATACGTCACGAAGACGACTGGGGCGTAGCTATTTTGTCGTAAAACAAAATAAAAATACCTTGCGCGCGCGCATATACACTGTCACACACAATATGTGTATGCGCGGCTCGAATTACAACTACAGCTGATGCACGTCGAGTCCTCGTAAAAATATTGTAGGTAGCCCGTGCACCAAATAAAACGCCTATAGAGATCACAATATAGCTATATTTTTCGTACAAATAATAATAATTCGCGTACTTAGATTAAACCAAACGACGAAATTTATTCTGTATATTAATATGTATTTACATCACATTATACGTACTTACTCGTCGACTGTCTCAGCTGCTGCTATCGTTCAATGCCTGACGGTTAAGTCTCCGTCTGATAAACAGCCGCCGGTGCACCGAGGTTATCATCGCTGTATCATATATTGTTATAACATTGAGGTGCCTATTCATTATATCACTGGAAGAGAGGGAAGAGAGGATAATCGCGTGCAATGACAAATTTTCTTTTTTTTTTGTACTGTCATACAGTTTTTGTGTAATAATATGTTTTATAACCAATGACCATCTATTTTATTTCTTTTCAGCAAATGGCAGCGGTAGATGGTTACGATAACCAAGGGATGCTGAGATCTGAATTGGACATCAACGGAAAACCCATCAATGGAAATACTTGGTGAGTTAATTATTAAACTTAACTCGTTTTTAAAGATTAGGTTTAAATTTTAGTGTTTTTTTGCATATGACCTGAACTATACCCACATTATCAATATTTATATATATTATTATGACATCGTATCATCTCGGATCACCAGCAAATATAACTCGTCGATTCAATGAAGTTTTTCTATTTTATCATTTTTATTTTTTATTATATTTCCGGTTGTGAGAATCGCTATTGCTTATCTGCTATTAAGACAAAACCGAGACGTTAGCCGGACGTAATAACGAACATTTTTGGGTGAGGCGTTAGGCCACTCTAAATTATATGTTCCTATTATATACACAATGGTGTGGGGAATCGTACGTAGGTATTAAATCAGCTCTACTAAACTGCTGGCTTCAAAGTTCAGACGATTAATTTTTTCATGAAAAACCTTCTTCCCGATGACGAACATATTTTGTTTTTACTTTCACAGTTTACACTGTTATAGCAATAGTATTTTGCAGTTCAAAGGATTGTACCGTATTCGCATATATGCGTATATAATTCAGCATATCATACATGTGCATCAATAAAGTTAGTTTAAAATTAAGATCAGACTCCTGAATTCTTACATTATGATGCGAGTCGTAATAATAACAATTCTGATTTTCTATTATTCTAAAAAATAGTTGATTAAGTCGTTTTTTTTCATTTAGTCAACATTTTAATTTAAGACTGTAGTTTTTTAAAAATGACATAAAACATTTGTGATCCTTATATATTTTATTTATTATATTTGTAAATCATATGTTAATATGTATTTGTACCGTTGCGGTTTTATATCAAATAAAAATCATCGTTTTACACTTTTGCCATGTAAAACCGTAAATATGTACATATTATAATTAGTTTCGCTGTAAATATTGTAATATACCTATGGAAATATGTATAAATCTGTATATTATCAATTATTATTTATTTATTGATGTGATTATGTGAATATATATATATATATATATAATGTGAGTGTCCAACGAGTTAATTGTCAAGTTGTCGGTAATATACTATGTAGTATTCTTAAATAAAAATAAATTTAAGTACTCTCTGAGTTTAATATTTATTAATTTACCATAATTGTAACAATCTAAAAAAACGTCATTTATAATTGCGCATAATGTACAGTAGATAATATTATGAGCATGTACATTTGAGCAATATAATTTAAATCATTAGAAGCTATTGATTTACAATGGCCTATAGTTAAATTTTACTCCGGTAGCTTGTGGTTTCTTGAAGAATATATGAACATACGGTCTTGACCTATTAATATTTGATAATATTTAGTTAGGTTGGTTTTTTTGGTCGGATATGAATAATCATTAAGTGATCTAATACCTAATACTCTTTTATGTATGACCATATATACATTGTAGATAAAATAATCGATTAATGTTTTTCTTTTGTTTCTTATCATTTAGTTTTTTTATTCTTATCGTTAGAACATATCTAATACGTTAGGTATGTTTTTATTTTTTTTTTTAATTAAAACGTTCATATTAATTTCATCTTACATACTATAACGTATCTCATTCTACCACCAATCACTAGCGTCATCATTTTTGTTGCTTAATATAACTTGATTATAGTATAGTAGTACGTATAAGTATATTGCATAATATATATAATTTAATTCGTTAATCTACAGAAGTACTTTTCATAAAAAAATTAACATTTAATAAAAAATTGTTTTCATTTGTCGGAATAACATAAATCATAATACTGTGTATTATAATACATATTTAATAAATTTTGTAGATTCTAGTTTCTGTCGTTTACATAAAGTTTATTTATTTCATCTGGGTTTAAACATCACGTGCTTCGCACGTAACGAACAAGGAACGTTAATACAATATATCTTCGTCTTTCGTCATACACTAAGTTATAATTAGTACAAGATTCTAGTATTTGTTGATTTCTACAAACATATATTGTTATAAAAGAACTTAGGATTAAGCCCGACTGAACTGAAAACGATTTAGATATGTAGCACACTTGTATACTCAATGGACGTTTATTTATGCGTTTGAATTGTAATGATTTATCAAATGCACCGCATTGTTTAGAATTGATGTTTCTCCTTTTTGTTTATGTGTGTGTGTGTATGCGTGGTATTTTTTGAGTGAGTAGTCGATTGTACAAATAGTGAAATTATCCATACAAATGACACAACACACGACTAATATATTATATTATTATTATTATTATATATTAAATTATTATATTTTTTGTGTTGCGATGTACAGCATCAACATGGACAGCCTCAACAAATGTGTCGTCATCAATACAAAAGGCGACACCGCCGCACAGTTGAACGAGAAACAAAATTACTACAACCCATACCAACACCGCGACGTAAAACACCCCACAACGTGAGTAGAATAATAATACATATCCATAATAACATAGCAATAGACCATAATTAATATTATTATTAATTACGATTTTTTTCTGTCTATTTTTTGTATAGGTATTTTGACACCTTGATACATCTTCTAAAGGCTAGTCTAGGTACGGGAATTCTAGCCATGCCCAGTGCGTTTAAAAACGCCGGTTATGTAGTGGGTACGTTGGGTACAATCATCATCGGAATACTGTGTACATACACGATACATTTGCTGGTAAGTGTAAAATATAATAAACGCATCGAGGAATAATTCGTCTTGCTCACATGCAATACAACTTAATTATAAAACCGTGATTATTTGTTTGGTATAGATAACTGCATCGCACGAGCTATGCATCAAGAGAAAAGTGCCCAGCCTCACGTACCCAGGTACCGTGGCAGTGGCTTTCGAAGAGGGTCCTAAATTCACTAGGGTATTGGCTCCTTACGCGAGGTAAGCCCCTGACCATAATATTATTGTTCTAATTATGTTATATTTTATTGGTTATCTGTTAAATTAACAACCCCCATTTTAATACTCGTTGCTTTTCAGAATGATGACAAACATGTTCCTAGTCCTGTACCAAATAGGTTCCAGTTGTATTTACCTGGTATTTATTGCTAGCAATCTCAAAGTGGTAAGTGATAGTGGCACTTAAATCTGGTCTTTTGGAATTTACATTCACAGTATTTTGGAAAATGTTACAGGTCTGCGATTTCTATTTCGGCGGCAACACGGACGTGCGGATGTACATGGTGTACCTATTAATCCCACTGATATTGATCTCTTGGATAAGGAATCTTAAACTCCTGGCACCGTTCTCCTCAATTGCTACTTGCATGACCATCGTAAGTTTTGTATTGATTTTCTACTACATTTTCCGGGAAACGCCGTCGTTCGCCGGCCGTGAACCAATCGGTACCGTTAACAGTATACCATTGTTCTTCGGCACTGTACTTTTCGCCATGGAAGCCATCGGTATGGTAAGTACAAACCATGAAAATATTTAATATTACATTAATACTAATAACCTGCAAAGGTGGGTGTTAAAAATTAATTTAATTAATCAAATGATGTTTTAACCATGCTGTACACATCGTTGCTTTAAATAAAATCAAACCAATAAATATTTCTCAATTTAATTATTTAGTATTTTATATTTTATAAATTATTTACACGTGTAATTACCAAATAATAACTATATTCATTTATAATATGCATTTAGCAGATAGGATAATTGTTTAGCAAAACGGTTGATAGTTATTTTTAATTTAATACTTTAATCCAAATTATCTACCAGCGAAAAACTGATAATTATTATTAAAGCTATTATCATAGCATTGTGATTCTATATGACGATCAAATATGTAGTTCTACCAAAAACCTAAGAACAGTTCAGGCCTTTTAATTAATTTTCCTTCGTCGAATCGTATCTGACCCTTGGTTAATCAAGAATAATAATCATCAAAATGACTTAAAAATTCAATGTTAACCCAATTAACAAAATTTTGCATATTACCTTTAATTTCTTTAAATTAACCCATTAAAAAAAACCCATTAATTATTCAATTTTTCTTTCATCAATTTCTGAAAACCCTCGGAGACATTTAAAATAGATTTGCCCTAAATAAATTGCTAGTTTAATAATAAAGTGGCCCTCATTCTGTTATTATTGTCATAAATTTATATGTAATTAAAAATAGGTATATTGTACACAATTCTATATATATTCTAATAATTATTCATTCACCTATAATTTAAGGTAGGTATTAAATGTTGGCTTAATTTAATTGACTCAATTTAATTTCATTGACTAGTTTTAATCCTTTAATATCATCGTCCACGATTATAATATGCTCTATAATATTGAACATTGCATTTATTCGATGTTTCGTATAGGTCTTGCCGCTTGAAAACGAAATGAAGAATCCTAAGAAATTTGGCAGTATGTTTGGCGTACTTAATGCTTCCATGTTGCCCATTTCTCTCTTGTACACGGTTGTTGGATTACTTGGCTATCTGAAGTACGGCGAAAATACCACCGGTAGCATAACACTCGACATGCCCCAGACCGAAGTGTAAGTATTCAAATATTAGATATATTATGTAAATGACATTTTGTTTTTAATATAATATTATAAAGTCCTTTATATATTTTGTTCTTAAAAAGAATATGCGTTCTCGTTTATATTTTACGAACGAAATTTGAACGTCACTTATTTACATTAAATGGAACGTGAATATAAACGAAATTCATATTTTTAAGAAACTTAAATCATTTTTAGGTCGTTCAATTTAAATTAATTGTATCTTCATAGTGGCACTTATTGTTAAACTCATTATTATACAATATTTAACTTATTTAAGATATTTTTTTAAATATTAACATAATTTTAGGAATACGTGGCACTTACGGTAATATATTATATATATATGCATTCAATATAGACTAATACATTTGATTCTTATATTATAATTGATAACAGTAATATAGATTGATAAATGTATAAAAGGGAAAATTTTTGACTTAATAGAGTTTAAATTTCAAAGTATAACACATCTACCTTATAGAAATATTTCCAAATATATTTTAAATCTTATTGTATATTTGCATTCAATAAATTTGGTACTCCAACTGGCTCAACTAGTGAAAACCATTACCCTTGAAGTGATTTATGATAACATTGGATATATTATATAAAAGAAAGGTTATTTTATTTTATATAGTTAATTTTATAATAAAAGATAATTTAATTATATATATTATTATATAATATAAGATTTATTTATTATATAAATAAAAAATTTTTTTGAAGAATTATTTATAACCTGAGTATTAAGTAAAGTTTACTATTACTAAACATTTATAGATCAATTATTTTAATGAACGTTTTAATTTCTTTTAAGAGCATGCACATGGATGTTTTTCTTTAAAAAAAAGTTAATAAACGTAATAGAATTCATTTTTATGCATTATATGTGAACGAATAATTAAATATCCAATTGAATTTTCTATACATTTTATGTAAAATACAATATAACAATAATATTTAATATGTCATACATATTATGACATATTGATTGAAGATAAATATAATTAATTAATCGTAATTATGCTTACAGGCTGTCTCAAGTCGTGAAACTCCTTCTGTCAATTTCCATTTACATTACATACGCTCTATCCAACTACGTCGCATTTGACATCATCTGGAAAGGAATGGAACAAAAGATGGAAAAGAATGAACACAGGATCTGCTGGGAGTATGCATTACGCACGTCCATAGTGATCGTAACGTGTAAGTATTCCTCGTAAGATGAAAGTCAATTACCAGGTTTCGTGTGAGAGGCTTTAACCGTTCCGAGATAATTGAAAAATGGTCGTACGCGACCATACAGCCTCGTGCCTCTCCGCACCCGTTATACGCGTTACGTTAATAGATTAAATTACATTTTTTTTTTTTTCATACAGTTTTCTTTGCCATTGCCATACCAAACTTGGAGCACTTAATCTCGCTGATCGGTGCGTTCTGTTTGTCTTCTGTGGGCATCGCGTTACCAGCCATCGTTAGCTTTTTGACGTTCTCCGACGTCTACAAGGATGAAGGAAACTTACGGTTCGGTCTATTCTGCCTGCGCAACTTGCTGATCATCCTCATCGCCATATTTGCATTCGTAATTGGCGTGTCCACAAGCGTGTCCGACATCATACATCACATGACGTGATTTCCTCCATTTCAATGAGGATTAAGTTCGTTTCTGTGATGGGTTTTATGGTCAACCCACACCACAAACGGACTATACGACAACTGCAAAAAAAAAAAAAAACAAATAAACAACAACGATGACGGTGATCGTTGTTGTCGTGCGTCGAGTAGTTAAAAGTTTTTTCCACCTCACTCGCGAGTAACGACCAATTATTGTTTACATTATTATTACATCAATATTACGCGTTTACTTCGGTGAACTCTTAAACCATGTAACGAATAAGACAACTCAAATCCAGTATTCTGTAACACGTCATTCAACTATAGTTGTTTGCGTTGTTGATTTAGAATTTGGATGGATAATGCCAACTCAGTATTTTTATTGTCGTTTTAAAATTATCGTATTTGGTTTTATTAATATTGTAAGCTCTTATTAATTAAATCCAACGTTTAAAATCAAAATAATAATAATAATACCAACGTAGGTGTTTAGTTTTCCAACCGGTCTGAGTACGGCACGGGCCGGTTTTCAAATTATGTCATACTACTATGTATTTTAGTGTCAATCAAAAATATATTATTTCACTCGAATATACGTGATAAATTCACAGTGCATTTGGCAAAAACAATGATTTTTATTGACTTTAAAACAACGCTCGGAACAAATATAAAGAAAAATATTCTTTGTACTTTTTTTTTTATTTTTTTTTCTACTTTTGATGTTAAGTATTTAACTCATACTCTGTACAATGTTTTAAGTTGAGTGCGAACAAATTTTATTTTATTTCAAACTCGTTGCCATTATTTTTTTAAATTAAAATCAAATAACAGGACATAAAATTTATAAGTTTCTTTTTGAATTCTTTTCTTTATGAACCAAGCATCATAACCTCGGCCGTTTTAACATTCCTTCCCTGAATACATTTTTCAATAATATTTTATATAAGTAACATACGGTGTAGATGAACCATTTGGAATTGTATTGCTCAATAAATATTATATTTATTTTACTATTTCTACTATTATGAATTGCATCAGTAGACCTAAATTGGTTAGTAAAATGAAAATAATTGTTGTTGAGATAGATCTCTAGTTTAATTTTTTTTTTTGTTTTTTTTTTTTTTTACCTTTGAAGATACTTAAATCGAATTAACCTTATGAAATTATTATTGTGATACGAGTTCATTATATTTTATTTTAAAAAATAACATAAATGTCTATTATTATAGATTGTAATTAATTGAATCTTATTTTTAAGTATATATATTATATATATTATATATATATTATCATATACATTTAAGATAATATATTTTTTTTAATAAACTAGATTTTTATAATGTATTTTAGACTGACATAATTTACAAAGCGGTTTTTTCGCTAATTATTATATGTAAAAATATTATAATTATTATTATTGTATTGACCATTTTTGTTGTTGTTTTTTTACAACCTTAATTATTTCATTTTAAATTTTAATCACCTAATTCCAAAATCTTGATCACAGGAAACATAATATTTATTCAACAATAATCAATATTATACATTACTTGAATAAATGCTTTGTACTATGACTATAATACGTCGTATGTGCAAATATTATTTAATAGAAAAGATAGACATCTTTTATATTATTGAGTAATATACAAATTAAAAATTTATCTACTTACTAGCATTTAAAAATAAAATTTATAATTTGTTGAAAAAATATTTATTCTACAATAAAATAAGTTAATATAGATCAAACGGCCAAGTTCAAGATATAATAGATTCCTACTATTTTGCCTAGCAATATAAATCATTTTCATGTAAAAATAATGATTAATTTATATTGAATTAGAAATCATTACTCTACTAGAGGAGTTTAGAGACAAGAGTACATCAGTATATGGTGAATAATGATAACACTAATAACTAATTGTTGTATAATTAATTAAAGGATTAATTATAACTGTTTCATTTTAAATGGGCTGCGCTTTTTATTAGTTGTACTAAAAATTTATTGGATATTTTTTCCCTTTACAAATTATGGACATTTAAATATTTTAATCAATATATGATTTTTAAGACATATCAAGTATACCTAATTGTTATTAAAAATGTTAATAATCAAAAAACAATAATTTGCTTATTTGTATTATTGTTTGTTTGTGTAATATGAAATATGTTAATATGATAAATGTGTATTAATTAGAACTGTTTCTCTAGTTGTTTAATATCATCAGTTATCACATACTATTTAATAATAAATTAATGTAATAGGTATCTACTACCTACTGATCATTAACCTAGTACCAACCAATTTTATAAAATATTTTTTTACACTTATTATTTACATAAATGAAGTATGTTCCAATATGCTATTATTTTTATCAAAAATATCATTTTGTTCATAAAATAACTTTGCAAGGAAATAAACATTAAAATACAAACCTTTTACTCAAAATGAATGCATAAATGTTTGATCACTTATCTGTATATATTAACGATCATTTTAAAACATTTAATATGTTATTACAATTTATCAATAAATTTCTCATTTATTTCAAGTTGACATATTATTTTATAGTAAACTATGGCTGTACTACCAGATTTATTTTCATTGCAAAAAGGATTTAAGTTGAACAAGCAAATATAATTTCAAAGCCATGTGTATTGAGTATTCATTGGAAAATAATAAATAAATAAAAACAAATAATTAAAATATACTCGTAGTATACAAAATATTTCTGAAAAATTACCTACACAGTATATCCGATCAGTGGGCACATATCTGAAATTTTATTTCATGATGGCTAGGGAAAGGAGAATTGACTTTTCAAGGAAATCTTAAGTATTTTTATATAATATATACACTTGCATATTCTTATAGAGGTACCTATAAGAAAAACTAATAATTTATTTTAATAATATTGTTTGTAGATTTTCTACAAAATTAGAAAGTAACACAATATTTAATTAATGCTATTGGTTTTTCGACGAGGTATTTGAATAATTTTACGATTTTCTTGCATAAAGTTGTTAAATTTTAAAAATGTTAGCACTATATACATTGTTGAATTTTAATGCAAAACAGCCCATGGGTGAAGCCAGGAGATTCAGCTAATATATATATATAATATGTGAAAAAAATAATTAGTGCTCTTAACAAAAAATATAAAAAATAATATCTGTGTTGTACTTGTCGGCACTTCACTCTACAGTTAATAAAATACACATAATAATGAATAATGATTAATGACTGAATTTTATGATACCTACATACATCCTCACGATACGCACGCATAGGCTCTTAGAAGATTGCCTATATTGAACTCCTTAAAAACAGTCAGTATCGAACTCCTTAATAAAACCATCTTGAAATTGCTTGTATATTGTGTAGTTATTTATTTATAATTAAACAGGCTGAAGCAAATAAAAAAAATAATAGGTGCATACTGTATATATAAATAAGAAACAAAACTTATTTAGCTAATTATGTACTTAAAAACTTTAAATAAATATCTGTTGATTGATTTTTTTAGACGATGAAAGGTAATAAAGAATGGATAATTGTCTAAATAGAAGGACTCTAAATTAATTTGGTAAATCAATGTAATCCTTTTTGGAGAAATCCATTCAATCTTATCAGAAAGAAGTTATTTGTTAGAAAATTCAAACCCTGTATAGCCTGAAAAGGTTGACTAATTTAATAGTTGTTGAGCAGGAATCATATTTACATTAAACCATTATACTAAATAGGTATGTTCTATATTATTAATATTATTATTATTACTATTATTAAACTAGAATAATACAGCATATGCATAATACATTAACTTATTTATTATGTATTATATTAATTATTATTATTACAAACAGTGTAAGTAATTTGTATAAAGTAAGAGCAGGGGAATTTTCTTTTACGCTATTCGGCACCAACATTGTTTTAATGTCTTACGTATTGTAGAACTGTTGTTATTCAAATACTTAAATAATAATAAAGTGATCGTTAATTTATTATTTCAAATATTCAAAGAAAAAATACTTGTAGTTTTTTTCTGCTAAATAAATGTATCATACTTAGTGGTTAGTAGTTAGTACCGCTTAAATATCAGAATATTGTTATTATTTTAATAAGCTATGATCAGTGGTTAGGCATGTTGAATTTTAATTGATTACAATTATTATTTGTATAAATGTGTAATAAATGATCTACGGAATTGTTGGTACTTCTGTCACTACTGTTGCATCTTACTGTGAATTGTGGATACCTTGCATCATATTTGGTGTTAGCATATTAATTCTGTAGAAACTTATACTCTTTGGGTGTAATTTTATAAAATAAAGAAGTGTTCGAACAAATCAAACAGATCAAGTTTTTTCTCTACAGAATAAAATTATTATGCTTTTAAAATTTGTAAGAAGATTCTATAATAATTAATAGCCATAAAAATATATTTTTATTTAAAATAAATACTTATGCCATTCATTATAATGCATAATATATATATATATAAGTATATATAAAGATAAAGTACATTTAAGGAAATGTTTTCAATACACGTGTCATATGACGTATTGAGAATAGAGGTTATTCCGTGCGATACGGAATTCTTGATTACTATATATATCCGGGATCGAACGAAAATAACGTAGCTGTTTGGCCTGAATAGATGACGTCTGTGGCTATATAGTGTGCCTTCGAATATTGTGATGGTATTTATTATTAGGTCTGGTAAGAAATAAACATCACATATCACAATGCTGTGACTTATCAACGTATTATAATCATATTATTGTTATGTATATGTAGTTCTACCCAGTATAGAATAAATTACGATATAATATACAATATAAAATGCTTGGTAAACACAATACGAGTACACAGACGAACGTCACTGTCACAACAAACACGTGGGAACGCCGAGAGAAATTTAAATATTTTTCAACAAGTGCGCCCGCATGTATCAAATGTTTTTTATTCGTTTAATTCATAGCCGATTTATTGTTTCGATGCAACAATATAAAAATAATAAACAAAATATCGTATAACAATTTATAGTGAGCGAGCAGTATGTTTTATATTATTACTATATAGATCGATATTAGATCGACTACGAAACCTCTGTAATTTATTCGTCGATAAATCAATTGGATTTCGTCATACACCGAAAAACTATTGGTCGTGTACAAGTATATAATACGTCAGTACTACAATTATATTATACATAACTACAATATATTATTATTATTATTATTATTATTATGCTAGTAAGTAGTAGACGACGTTCGCTATAGATTGACAATTGCTTCATTAGTTATTAATGTTATTATATTCACCATCGCCTTTGTTATGTGATCTCGACGATTCAGAGTCGATACATCCGAACACTGACACGTGCAGTTTATTATCCTATTGATATTTAGCCGTAAACTTCTATAGATATTTTATAGTTTAATACTATTACTAAAATATAGTGTACAGTAAGTCACGTCAGTGGATTTAAAAAATATAATATTAGAAAATGATCTTGATTCTTGAGTTTTAACGGTGATTAAACATTTTGAGATTATTGATAATAAGAATATTTTTTCCATCTATCTATCAATGTAATAAATAATTGAAATAAATATATACTGTAAGAAAATAACTTCTTGCACTAGAGTTATTATTATAAATTTCCCATCAACCAGTTTTACAGGCAAA